ATGTGGTCAACCAGTTTTCCCAGCACCATTTACTGAATAGGTTCTCTTCTCCCCACTGGTAGGTGGTGGGGGCTTTGTCGAAGATGAGTTGGTTGAGGAATTGAGGTTTTGCTTCTGGAATCTCAATTCTGCTCCATTGATCTATATACCTGTTCCTGTACCAATACCAAGCTGTTTTGATGATTGTAGCTTTATAGTAAAGTTTGAAGTCTGGTATTGTGATACCACCTGCTTTGTTTTTTTTACTGAGGATTGTTCTGGCTATTCTTGGACGTTTGTGTTTCCATATGAATTCCTGTGTTGTTTTTTCTAGGTCTGAGAAGAATGTTGTTGGTAATTTAATGGGTATTGCATTGAATTTGTAGATTGCCTTAGGTAAGATGGACATCTTCACAATGTTGATTCTTCCGATCCATGAGCATGGAATATTTTTCCACTTGTTCGTGTCAGCTTTGATTTCTTTGAGCAGTGTTTTGTAATTTTCATTATAAAGGTCTTTCACGTCTCTGGTTAGGCATATATTTTTCTATGTTGAAGAAACAAATGTCCCTTTAAAACTGCAAATTTTACAAAAGGCAGTAGGGAAAGAAAGGTCTAGAAAGCCCCTGGGAGATCCACCATATATTTTTCTATGTTGAAGAAGTCAATATCCCTTTAAAACTTTGCAAATTTTACAAAAGGCAGTAGGGAAAGAAGGTCTAGAAAGCCCCTGGGAAATCCACCGTATATTTTTCTATGTTGAAGAAATAAATGTCCCTTTAAAACTTTGCAAATTTCACAAAAGGCAGTAGGGAAAGAAAGGTCTAGAAAGGCCCTGGGAGATTCAAATGATTTCCAGGAACAGTGAAAGAGGAACACTTGTTGGAGAGTGTGAAGTGATCCAGAGATAGGTGTGGGCGTGAGCTGAGTCCTGTGGCCATGGCATGGCTGCCTACGTGGAAGATGGGGGTGATGGCTTGAGGGTCCCATGGCCATGGCTGCCTATGTGGGAGAAGGAGGTGAGGTCCTGAAGGGTCCCTTGGCCATGGCTGCCCACATGGGAAAGAGGGCAGGGTCCTGAGCAGTCTCGTGGCCATGGCTGCCCACATGGGAGAGAGGACAGGGCCCTGAGAGGTCTCGTGGCCATGGATGCCCACATGGGAGAGGGAGACAAGGCCCTGAGGGGTGCAGCGGCCATGGCTACCTATGTGGGAAAAAGAGGCGGGGCCTCGAGGGAATCCCGTGGCCATGGCTGCCCATATGGAAAGGAGGGCAGGGCCCTGAGGGGTTTCATGACTGTGGGTGCCCACGTGGGAGAGGGGGCTGGGCTCTGGGCGATCCCAGGAGCTTCCCCTCCCTGCAGCCTCATGAACCTGCTCATTTAAGATCTCAACTGCTCGACTGTGTCTCTGTCCCCAGCCCCGCACTAGGAATCAACTGTATTTGTCAGCTTAGATTTGAATAATAAACACGTAGAAAAAGTGAAGTCAATGCTTAGTTTTGGAAAAGAAGCAAACATGTAGGCTTTCTGCTCTCCGGAAGTGCTAGGCCGTCTGGGGTCACGAGCCCATGTGGGGACACGCAGGGAGCCTTCCCGATTCCGCACGACCAGGGTCACGCTGACATCATGCGAGAGAAGCCTCTCCTGTTAGAGGAGTGCCCGCAGTTAGCACAAGTGCAGGTCAAGATGGCTGGCGCGTTGGAGGTTCTGACCCTTCATGGCCACTCTTCCTCTGGGGACTTTGTGAGGCACATGAGTCAGGAACCCATGATCCCACTGGCTCCCCATGCAGGGGAGCAGGCCCCAGAAGGTGATGACTTGTCTTTTTCTAAAGAGCATCCGGCACGGGTGAATTTGTTTTAAATAACTCACCCAGTTTCTGTGGGGTGGGGGCTAAGCCTGGGGTCCCTGCGAATTCTGCCGTTCCCCGTGTCCCTGTCACTCATAGCCTGCCCAGCCACTTCAGGCCTTGAAAGACACTGGAAATGAGCCAGAGGCGGGCCCGGCCTGTGTCCTGGCCCAGGGCTGGAGACACCTCCTCTCTGGGTTGGCCTCGTTCCTGACCTGCCTCGCCAAGCACAGACCCTCATGGCCTCTGGTGTGGAGCGAGGACCGTGGGGGGAAGCAGGGTCCTCGGGGCGGGTGGGCAGGCCGCATGGGGTGGGCTGCCTGCGCCTCCCCCTCTGCCCACCATTCTCATGAAGCTTCCTTCTGCCGTGTGCCCAGGGTCACCCAGGCCTTGTGCACGGGGAACTTCGTGGGCCCATGGTGGAAGGGGATGCTTTGGTGACATTAGGAGTTGCGGTGATGTCACAGCAGAGCATGCACACGGACCACGGGAGTGTCCTGAGAGACGCCCCCACTGGGTGGCATGCCGGGCTTGGCGCAGCACTCGTGTGGACTCTGGCACCCAAGAGCAGGTGTGGACCTGAGCATGCGAGGGTCCCGCGCCCCGCACCGCCCTATCCACACAGCATCCCTGCCCCATGTCCTCTCCGGCCGCCCCTTCTCCCTAGCTTGGTCTTCTCTTTGTCCGAGGGGAGGAGGGCATGGCCTGCTGGACCCGGGCAGCATGGTCCAGACATGTGCCTTGGCCTGGAGCATGGTGGAAGGTTCTCTGACGCTGTGGGTTCCTGTTTTCACGTGATCCCAGGTATGCTGAGCTACTGCGACAGGTACGGTGAGAGTATGAGGCGTGTCCTGAAGACGTTCGGACCTGTTCCAGAGTTTTCCAGAGCCACCGCTGAGAAGGTGAACCAGGTGTGTGGAGGCACCGCAGAGCGGCGTACACCTCCCCCACCCCGCCAGCCCTCCCCCCACCCCTGCCCCGCCCCTCCCCTCATCCCTCACCCCATCCCCCATCCTGCTGGTCTCACCCTCGTCCTCCACCCCCCTGCCCCAACAAAGCTGCTCCACCCTCCACTCTTCCCCCCTCCCGCCCTGCCATAAGTGGGACTCTATCTGCAGCTGGCGCCCTGGCCCAGGTGTTGGTGGGTCTGTGGTCCTGTCATGTGGCCATGACGCCAGGAGAGAGTGTGGCCAGTGAGTGAGTGGCTCACTCGGCTGTCCCCTGGAGTTTGGGGCTCCAAGGGCCTGGGGGTATCTGCCCCCACCTTGGTCTTTGAAAGCAGCTTGCTCAGGGACTGTGTAGATGGCAGCACAGCCTCACTCCTGGGGGGCCACACTCCTCACATCTGCTCTTCCTCCCAGGCCATGCGCGAGAAGGTTCCTGATGACCCGGAGCACCTAGCGGCCCGCCGTCGGTGGAGGGATGGGTGCCTCATGAGGCTGGCCGCACTGAAGGCCCAGATGCCACCCCAGTGAGACCCACCGAGGCTCACCTGGCTGATCGCCACCAGATTCACGGATCCAAGCCCGCTGAGGGCTGTGGCGTCCCTCTTCCCTGCCCAGGGCTGTGGTGTCCCGCTTCGTGGCACTGTACGAGCCCTGCCCTTCTCGCCCCACGACCAACTGTGCTCACAACAGGGAGTCCACGCCAGTTGGTGGCCAGGCTTGTGCCAGAGTCCCAGCCTCTTCTCAAGCCTGACCCTGGCGTAAGGCAGCACCACCATTGTCTAAAGAGGTCTCTGAATAAAGCTGTTGGTTCCATAAAGACGCCCTTTCTCTTCTGGTTTTTTTGAGAAGGTGGTGTTGGGTTCTGACGGCCAGCGTATTTCAGCGTGACCACAGTGGGTGAGCAGCAGGCAAACGTTTTGTCACGGTCCTGTAACCACCACGTCTGCACCAAGCCCTGCTCTCGAGGCGCCTGTTAAAGCCAATGTGTTATCTCTTCTTCTATGGACATCTTGCCTCGTTTCAGTCCCCACCAATCTAGGATGTCCCACTGTGCCCCTGAGGCCACACCCCCACAGTGACCTGGCTGATGCCCCAGGGGGCTCCCCCACAGCTCTAGCCTATGTGTCAGTGGCCCAACGACCCAGCCAGGAAATGTCCCTCCCCGGGGCCAGGGCCATGGTGGTGCTGGCAGCAGCGTCCTGGAAACATGGACGTGGTAATCGGGGCCGTCGCGTCCATACAGACGTGTGTCACATTCACCGATTCTCACAAGATACACTGGGCAGCTGTGACGCACTGGCTGTCACCCACATGACCCCTGCCCTGCAGAAGGTCACCTAGATGACACAGGAGGGCGGGCCTAGAAGCTGCCATGCAGGGGAGCACGGCCAGCCTCTACCCTGGCGTGTCCTGGAGGCTCCAAGGAGGTGGTGGGTTGGGGATCTTGGGTGACAGCCAGATAAGGAAGCAGAAGGAGGATACAGGTGGCTTTACCCATGGCCCACTGAGCCATGTAGTCTGTGAAGAGCCACAGGGAAGGACTGTGGGGAAGGGCCGGGGTGCTCTGAGCAGGGGGGACGAGGGAAAAGAGGGAGGAGAGGGCACCTCCTTCAAGTGTGAGTGCCGACTTGGGCCTTCGCCCTTGGTGGGAAGGCCAGCCTCCTGGGGAGATCCTGCCTGGTTGCAGCAGGGCTCTCTGCCCCCGTTCCTTAGACCTTGGGCTCCTGCGTGTCTCATTCTCTCCCTGAGCGTTTGGGGTCACACCTTGCAGCACCCCGACCCAGAACCCCCGCTACCCAGTGGAGTCTGGCCCCTTCTGCCTCCTCGGCACCCCAGCCCCCAACTCCCTAACCCGGAGGCTCTGGAGTGCCGGGCCGTGCTGCCACCAGCTGCTGTTCCCTGGGTGGCTGTGGGCTCCAGCAAGCCTGGCCATGTTTCTGTCTGTCCCATGTCCAGGCCTGATATTCTGCTGTTTAAGTTTTCCGTGAGCACCTGAAATGATCCCTTTACCTTTTTTAGAATCATCGCCCTTGGATGTTGTGTCCTCAGATAAATCATGTTGCTGTCTCTGCTGTGTTCTTGTCTGCACCTGAACGATCCCCACAGTCCCTGCACTTCCTCTTCTCTCCTTCCTTCCAGGACCTGCTGTAGAAACTCGGAGATCGGTGAGAGTCTGCCTGGCCCTCGGGACCTGGCGAGGATTAAACAAGGCTGCACAGAGGGGAAGTCGCCGACGAAAAGTGTTTCCTGCGCCCTGTGATTTTGTGAAGAGGCTTCATGTCAAGTGCAGATCATGAAATTCCAGGCACTCAGGCCACCAGGGGAGGCCCGGAGTCCTTCCTGGGGGTAGCCTTTCGTGTGAGTGGCATGGAGGCTGTGGCCTGTGACCTCTGAATGTTCCCGCAGCCTCTGCCGAGCACGTGTGTCAGATACAACAAAGGAGAGAAGTGATTGCCTCCCACGTCTGCCGGATGCCCAAGTTCTGCTCAAGCTTCCCTGTGTCATCTCCTGCTGGAAGCCCGCCCTGCCTGCCACCTCCGCTTGAACTCCCTGGCGCCGCATCTCCATCCTGCCCGGCCACTGCAGCTCCCACTTGCGACACCCCAACCGACTGCAAATTCTCTCAGGACAGAGATCATGCCGATTCCTGTCCTCAAGCCTCAGAGCCCCCAGCACCAGCAGGGTCTCTGCAAATGCTTGTCAAGTGGACCCAGGACCCCGCGTCCCGACTCCCCGTCCCTTCTGGCCACGACTGTCCAGGCAGCTGGGAGCAGTCTCCATGGAGGACCAGCAAAACAAACAAACGAAAATCGGAAATGAGGCTGTGTGCAAGAATGACCCACCCCCTGGACAGTCCGGAAAGGAGGCATGATTAAGTCGGGTGCTCCCCGAGCCAGTGGGCAAACAGAACACAGGACAGCAGAGGGGTCTCGGGGTGGAGTGACGTTTATCACCAGCGAGAAAAACAACCACAGTGTGTCAAAGTGCAACTGGCATATCCCCATCGGTGCATTCACAACGTCACTGATGGATTTGGAAGACTTCACTGGGAAACTTTGAGGCTTCACAGACTCGCACGTGACTGAAAAAATGGCAGCCAAGAAGCAGCTCCCATGACAGACCTGCTTCCCTGTGAGACATGCCCAGTGATCTGACGACTGAGGAAGACACGCCTCCTCTGACGTGCTCAGGCTGCGGCGTCAGAAAGGATGGAGTTCAGCTGACTCTTGCAGAGAACTCTTGATGTACATGCAGGCCAAGCCTGTGAAAGCAGAGGGCCGCAGGCATCACACACACAAAACCAGCCTCCTCAGCCTCCACAGTTCGCTTAAAGACAGGACGCAGCATCCTAAACAACTTGCCAAGGCCAACTAAATGACACAGTTGAAGAAGGGAATGGTTTTCTAGAAAATACAGTTCATCAAAATTCACTCTACAAGACAGAGTAAAGAAACCCAATTTGTTTTATAACCATGAAAAAAAAAACTCGTGGAAAACCTTCCCTAAGGGAAAACACCAGGCCGATGGCTTCTTTGGAGAACCACATCCACATTCTCTAAAGGATGGATTCAATCTTATGTAAACGATTGCGGAGACGAGTTATAAGGCTAGATAGCCTTGACAACAAAACCAGATAAGGACAGTATGAGAAAATAAAAGTTTCTGCCACTCTCAGTATAAAAATGTCAGCAAGCTGAGCCTGTGCCGTGTGAGCAGGGGAACGTGTCGTCATCACCAGGCTCACCAGGCCAGAGGTGGGGGCGGCTTAACACTGGGGAGCCCATGTATACCTTTTCCACATTCACACACAAACGAGGACAGAGGTTCTCTGACTGTTGCAGGAACGCGTTTGGTAAAAAGTCTCTTAGCAAACAAGGAGCAGGTAGGAACCTCCACAGAGCCCCACAGAATCCTGGAGCTAATGTCTCGAGACAGGCTGTGTGCTCGAGGTCTTTCTTTTGAGACTCACCAAGAGTCAAGGCAGCCACATTGTCCAACATTTTCCCAGAGAGAAGCTAGCCAAGAAGAGGAAAGAGAGGGTGGAAGAACCAGAGAACAGAAAAGCTGGACATTCCCTAATGATATGATTATAGGCACAGAAACTCCAAAGACACCACAGGCACATCTTTAGAATTAAACTAGAGCTCAGCAAGTTCATAGGATATGAAATCAATATCAGAAATCAATTTGCACTTACATAAAAAGCAAAAATTATAAAACTAAGCAGAAGAGGTATTACTTATAAAAAAAAAGTTTTTTGGGGAAGGGCAAGCTAAGGATGTGAAAACACCCTCTTTTGTTAAAATTACAGCCCATCACTGACAGATATTAAAGGAGACTTTAAAATGTATCTACAGGGTGTGCCGGAAAAGTGTATACATTTTATGCGATATGATCTACGCATGACTTTTTATAGTTTTTAAAGTTGAATTGAATGATGATAGCAATGGCTACGTATGACGTTCACTCAGAAGGCAGTGCTCATCAAAGGAATGCTAGCATCCCCATGCGACGGGCAGGGCAGTCAAAGAAAATGGCAGAAGCGCAGTTGTTGTTCAAGGAGCACAAGACCATTTTGAAGTGGTCTTTGAAATTCGAGAACGCTGTAGAAATACAGGACAGTGGAGGTGTGAGTATGGGTAACAGAACCTCTAACACGCCTGACAATTTCCCAAATTCGTGATGAGTTTGAGATACCTGGTCCTGTGTGTGACCTGCACAAGGAAGACCCGGGAGGCCCCCACAGCAGCAAGTCCTGAAGTCATTTGCTGTCATCAGAAGCGTCTGGATACAGATGGGAACCACTCTGAGCGCCTCTTGTAATTGCAGAAGTCAAATGTGACTTGTGCTCATCTTTTGTTACTGATATATATTGAGTATTATAATTTTAATACGGTTTTCTTCTTTCTTAAAATGTATACTTTTTGGCAACCTCTGTGTATGTTTGTGTGTGTATATATATATAGTTTATGTTTTATACAGTATATATAAATAAATATACTACCATATATATTCATATGTTGTGCTGATGTATTAAAAAACTCAATACTGTCATCATGTCAATCCCCCCAAAACTGCTCTTACAGATTCGATGTCATCCCAATGTTTATGTGTGTATTTAACTTGATAAACTGTTCCAAATTTTATTTGAAGATGCAGAAAAAGCCAAGCCACTTGGATTAAAAAAATGATGAGACAGGGTTTGCTTGGCCAGATATGAAGCTTTATGACAATACACGAACCCAACTGTGTAGTTTGGGCACAAAGATCCGTCGCTGCAGCAGAATAAGGAGTCCAGCAACAGATTCAAGCAGACATGGACACAGGATTTACAGCAAGAACAGCAGGAAGGGCCAGTGGGGTGAGAGAGCCAGCATCCACACAGGAGACGTGGAGTGAGACACCCCCTCCCACCCCTCATGACACTCGTGGAGGGTAGGCTTCCATGGGAACGCAAACCGTACAGTAGAAGGAAAGGTGGGCCATTCCGTCTTCGCGATCTCGAGGACAGAATGCGTCTTCACCAAGATCCCAAGACATGGGCCATAGGAAGCTATTCTTTTTTCTTTTTCTTTTTCTTTTTTTGAGTAGGAGTCTCACTTCCGCCCAGGCTGGAGTGCAGTGGTACGCTCTGCAGCCTCAACCTGCTGGCCTCGGCCAATCTTTCCACCTCAGCCGCCCAAGTAGCTGGAACTACAGTTGTGCGCCACCATACCCGGCTAATTGATTTATTGTAGAGACGAGGTCTCGCCAAGTTTCCCAGGCTGATCTTGAATCCCTCGGCTCAGGCAATGCCTTTGCCTCTACCTCCCAAAGTG